GCCACCGCAGCCTCCACCTGCTGGGCTCAGGCGATCCTTCCGCCCCAGCCTTCCGAGTAGCTGGAACCACAGACACGCGCTACCACGCCCAGCTAATTTTTTGATTTATTGTAGAGATGAGGTCTCATCAAGTTGCCCAGGCTGGTCTCGAACCACTGGGACTCAGGTAATCCTCTTGCCTCAGCCTCCCAAAGTGCTGGGATTGCAGGCGGAGCCACTGTATCTGGCTGTTTCTTTTCTTAAATAGTTAAGTTTCTTCCTCAACCTTATGTAAGGTAAATATTAAACCAGCTCTAATGAAATTATCTCAGAATAATTACAAACTGAATGGGTTCTCTAAGGTGCTGTTACTATAAGTAGACTTTTTAAAATAAACTTCACTTTGAGATTGTATTAAACCTATTAACCGTTTTTGGAAGACTTGCAATGGCTAATCCTTTATAAACTCTATTTTATTTGCATTTCTAGTTGGAAAAATTGTAAATATAAGGAAGAATATATATGTATATAACATACTTTATTTTTATTTATTTATTTATTTTTGAGTTGGAGCCTCATGCTGTCGCCCAAGCTGGAGTACAGTGGCACGCTAATGGCTTCAATCTCCTGGACTTAGGTGATCCTTCCACCTCAGCTTTCCAAGTAGCTGGAATTACAGGTATGCACCACCATGCCAGGCTAATTTTTTCATTTATTGTAGAGATGAGATCTCGCCAAGTTGACTAGGCTGATCTGGAACCTGTGGGCTCAGGCAATCCTCTCATCTGGGCCTTCCGAAGTGCTGGGATTATAGGCGTGAGCCATCCTGCCCTGGCTATAGCATACTTAAAATTTTTTTTTTTGAGTTGGAGTCTCACTCTGTCACCCAGACTGGAGTGCAATGGCCGCTCCCGGCCACCGCAGCCTCGACCTGCTGGGCTCCGGCGATCCTTCTACTTCAGCCTTCCAAGTAGCTGGAACTACAGGTGCATGCTACCACACCCGGCTAATTTTTAAAAAAATTTATTGTAGAGATGAGGTCTCACCAAGTTGCCCAGGCGGGTCTTAAACCCGCGGGCTCGCAATCCACTCACCTTGGCCTCCCAAAGCGCTGGGATAACAGGCTGAGCCACCAAGCCCGGCCAAAAATTTTTTTTTAGAGATGGGGTTTCCCTCTTTTACCCAGGCTAAAGTGAAGTGACATGGTCATGGCTCACTGCAGCCTGGAACTTCTGGGCACAAAAAATCCTCCATCTTTGCCTCCTGAGTAGCTGGGATTCCAGGTGTGCAACACTACACTCAGCCCAGTTTTTTTTTTAAATTTTACTTTTTTTGTAAAAATGGGGTCTTGCTATGTTGTCTAGGCTGGTCTTGAACTCCTGGGATCAAGTGATCCTCCAGCCTTGGCCTCCCAAAGTACTGGGATTACAGACATGAGCCACTCTACCAGGCCCATATATAGTATATATTGCCTTACATCTACTTGTGCTTTAAATCTATTTTTGGGCCAGGTGTGGTGGCTCATGCCTGTAATCCTAGCACTTTGGGAGGTGGAGGCCAGAGGATTGCCTGAGCCCATGGGTTTGAGACCAGTATGGGCAACTTGAGGAGACCTTGTCTCTACAATAAATAAAAAAATTAACTGGGAAAATTAGCGTGGAAGCATGCGCCTGTTGTTCTGGCTACTTGGAAGGCTGAGGCAGAAGGATCACCTGAGCCCAGCACATCAAGGCTGCAGTGGCTGTGAGCATGCCACTGCACTCCAGCCCAGGCGTCAGAGTGAGACTCTGACTCAAAAAAAAAAAAAAAGAAAAAAAAATAGGTGTTGAGAGATGAGATTGCTGTTTTTTCCTCTTCCTACTTCCCATATTACTATTTAGTTATTCAAAAACTGACATAATTTACAAAGATACCAGTTTAGTTTATTGTTCTCTTGTCTTATCTTGAACTGAGAGCCTTATTATTTTGCCTCAGAAAAATCTCATTAGTCAGTTCTTGGCAATAAAAGCATTACTTCATGAATACTATCTTGTCTGAACTTCTAGCTATTACTGACAGCCATCTTTAAGATCCACTTCATTCCTTTCACCTTGCTAATTAGAAACAAAATCTTGGTAGTACTTCACCACCTACTAATGACTCATTTGTTACCTTAAACTTGACATCCTTGTAATGTTGTTCTCTAAAGCAGTGCTTCTGGTACTTTAATGTGCATATGAAATACCCAGGAATCTTGTTAAAATGTAGATTTTTTTTGACACAGTTATGGGGATAGGGGTCAAGATTCTGCATTTATTTTTATTTTTTTATTTTTTGTTTTTTTGTTTTTGAGTTAGAGTCTCACTCGGTCGCCCAGACTGGAGTGCAGTGGCCGCTCCCGACCACCGCAGCCTCACCTGCTGGGCTCTGGCGATCCTTCCACCTCAGCCTTCTGAGTAGCCGGAATTACAGGCGTGCACTACCACACCCGGCTGATTTATTTATTTATTTATTTATTTATTTAGAGATGAGGTCTCGCTGCCCAGGCGGGTCTTGAACCCGCGGGCTCAGGCAATCTACTCACCCCAGCCTCCCAAAGGCACGGGATTACAGGCTGAGCCACCGAGCCCGGCAAGATTCTGCATTTATAACAAAGTCCCAGGTGATGCTCATGCTGCTGGCCCCTGGATCATACGTTGAGTATTGGGCTACACACTTGCTATGAAAGATGTGGTCAATGTGCAGCCAGGAGTTAAAGAGGACTTTGGGAGGCAGCTGAGCATGCCACTGCACTTCAGCCTGGGTGACAGAGTGAGACTCCTACTCAAAAAAAAAAAATTTGTTGGTTAAAAACAAAAAACAGACCTGGGCATGGTGGCTCAGGCCTATAATCCCAGCACTTTGGGAGGCCAAGATGAGAGGATTGCCTGAGGCCATGGGTTCTGGACCAGCCCGGGCAACTTGGTGAGATCTCATCTCTGCAATAAATAAAAAAATTGGCCAGACATGGTAGTATGTGGCTGTAGTTCTGGTTACTTGGAAGGCTGAGGCAAAAGGATCACTTGAGTCTAGCACGTTGTCACTGGGGTGGCCGTGAGCATGCCACTGCTCCCCAGTCTGGGCAACAGAGTTGAAACTCCAACTCAAAAGAAAAAAAAAATTAGCTGAGCATGGTGGTGTTTGCCTGTAGTTCCAGCTACTTGGAAGGCTGAGGCTGAAGGATCACCTGAGACCAGCAGGTAGAGGCTGCATTAAAAAAAACCCAAAAACAAACAAAAAAACAGGCTAGGTAAATCACGCCTGAAATTCCAGCATTTTGGGAGGCCTAGGCGATGGGATCATTTGAAGCCAGGAGTTCAGCAATAGCCTGGGCAACATAGCAAGAGCCTGTCTACCAAAATAAAATAAATACAATAAAAATAAAATAAAATAAAATAGCCAGCACAGCAGCTGTAGCTATTCAGGAGGCTAGGGTGGGAGGATTACTTAAGCCCAGGAAGTATAGGCTACAGTGAATTATGATCATGGCAGTGCATTCCAGCTTGGGTGACAGAGTGAGACCCTGTCTCCTTTTTTAAAAAAAAAAAAAAAGCCAGGCACAGTGGCTCATGTCCGTAATCCCAACCATTTGGGAGGCCAAGGCAGGAGCTCAGAAGTTGGAGACTGACCTGGGCAATATAGCGAGACCTCATCTTTACAAAAAAATTAAAAAATTAGCTGGGCATGGTGGTGCGTGTCTATCGTCCCAGTTATGAGGGAGGGTGAGGCAGAAGGATCACCTAAGCCCAGGAGGTCTATAGGCTGTGGTGAGCCGTGATCATGCCACTGCACTCCAGTCTCAGTGATAGACCCTGTCTCAAAAAAAAAAAAAAAAAAAAATCTAGTAACCTCTGGAATAGTTAAGATCTAAAACCTTTCCAGGTAAGAAATTATTATTTTTTCTTTTTTTTTTTTTGAGTTGGAGTCTTACTCCATCACCCTGGCTGGAGTGTAGTGGCACGCTCACTGCCACCATTGCCTCGACCTGCTGGTCTCAGGTGACCCTTCTGCCTCAGTCTTCCAAATAGCTGAACTACAAGCACATGCCACCATTTGTGGCTAATTTTGTTGTTGTTGTTGTTGTTGAGTTGGAGTCTCACTCTGTCACCCAGACTGGACCTGCTGGGCTCCAGCGATCCTTCCACCTCAGCATTCCAAGTAGCTGGCACTACAGGCACGCGCTACCACACCTGGCTAATTTTTTTGATTTATTGTAGAGGTCTCGCCAAGTTGCCCAGGCAGGCCACTCACCTCAGCCTCCCAAAGCGCGGGATTACAGGTTGAGCCACCGAGCCCAGCTAATTTTTTAAAAAATTTACTGTAGAGATGAGGTCTCGCCAAATTGCCCAGGCTGGTCTGGAACCTGTGGGCTCAGGCAATCCATCCTCTCACCTTGGCCTCCCAAAGTGCTAGGATTATAGGCGTAGGCCATAGCGCCTGGCCAAAAATCATATTATATCTAAATAATCTACTCCTGGTTTGCTAGTGAGTTTTCAAGGCTGAATTAAGACTGTTTATATGCCTTAAAGTTCTATTCTTTCTTTCCAGACTCTATAGTAGACTCTAGTCATTCATGAGGCTGAGACTCTTTAAAAATTCTACATCTTGAAGACTATTTAGCATGTAATCTCAATTTCTTTAACTCTAAAATGGGGATAAGAATGTTTGCTTATAATAATAGCAGGGCTATTGTGCCAGGCTTAAGTGAGAACAAAGTCTTTTTTGAGTTTCAAGTTAGGGTCAGATTAGCTAGGTTTCTTTTAGCATAATCCAGTTGACTTTGAATTCCTGGGTTATTCTAAGTAATGTCTCTGCAAAGTTAAATTTCTGAATGTCAAGAACTTTTTGTTTTGAAATCTTGATCTCAGATCTGAAATTGTCAGGTATTTAGTCTACTTTCTCTTTCCTTTTCTTTGTTCAGATTTGAATAATTATCAACAGAGTACTGGAGGAGTAGTACAAAGGAGGAACTACGACCCAGGTTTTAATCCTTTATCATTTCACCTTTGTATATCATTTGTAAAACTGGTAAATAAAAATCTGCCATAGTTCTTATGGCTGTGAAGATTAAATGAAGGAAAATTGGATGTAAATGATAAATTGAATGGAATTGATTTTTGCCATTTTCTTTTTTGCAGATTTACCTCAATGTATATGTATGGTCTTCCAGAATCAGTTCTAAAATACACAGGTTAATTACACCTTAGAGTAGTATACTATAATTTACTAGTATTCATTTAATACTCATAACATTGTGGCTGGCAAACCTGGAAGTAGAACTCAGTTTTCTGAGTCTCAGATCACTGTTATTTTATTCCCATTAGATCTTGCTATTTATTCTTTTTAACATTGCTTATTAATGTGTTTTAAATATCAAGAGCACAGACATTGAATAATAGTAAATCACAATAATACTAAGACTTTGATGGTATCTCAACAGGTCAGCTCTTCTCAAAATTTTTAGGTTTCCTCAGAACAGGAGAAGGTTTGTAGGTGGAAAGTGACTGCCCTGTGACTTGAGAGAAAAAGTACCACCCTACTTTACTTTCAAGGGCATCTAGGCAGGTTGTCCAGGTTGCTTTTCGTTTTTGGTGGTTGTTCTTGTTGAAACTATCTTCTTCAGTCACTGAGAACTCTTGTCATCAACTCACCCTCTTTACTACTGGCTCTAGAATTTTGATCAGCTTTAGATAAACATAATTAGAGAAAGTTGGAGAAAGGCCACTTTGACTTTTCCAAGTCCTTCAGTAAAGACACACACACATTTACTTAAAAAAAAAAAAGAAGACTGGGTACAGTGGCTCACACCTGTAATCCCAGCACTTTGGGAGTTGGAGGGAAGAATATTGCCTGAACCCAGGGGTTCGAGACCCACCTGGGCAACATGGGGAGACCTCATCTCTACAATAAATCAAAAAATTAGCCGGGTGTGATGGCATACACCTGTAGTTCCAGCTACTTGGAAGGCTGAAGTGGAAGGATCCCTTGAGCCCAGCAGGCTGAGGGGTGGCTGTGAAAATCACTGCACTCCAGCCAGGGCAATAGAGTGAGACTCCACGTGGATCCCCCC